ACCTGAGCAAAAGGTCTCTGTCAAAATATTGCTTCATCATAGTGGAGATCTTGCTGCAAAGTTCCTCTATAACCAGGTAACTTGTTAGAAGTCTTAGCGTGGAAATGATTGGTGGTTTGGTGTTTGACACTTACTTGCTGTTTATTATTATCCAGGCGGTGGTGGATGCTGTGCGTAAAATCCCTAAGGCCATTTGGAATGCTAAAGAAAGGTTTTTTTTTTTCCTTTTGTACTCTCTCATATGCATGGGTCATTTGTGTGATCTTGTTTCTCTCTTATCTTTCTTATTTCCAACGCGCTTCGTTGTGATCTGTAAACAAAACAGAGAAATAAATTCTTGGCATGTAACGCCTTGTTTATTCTCTTGTGGAAATCCAGGTTATGGATATTTCCTCAATCTTCACTGTCATCAGCAGAAAAGATTCTGCGAGAAGTTTCCAGTGTTAAAGTTGAGGTAAGCCACCTTGATTTTTTTATACTGGTTCAGAAAGTGCAGCTTAAACTAGAGGTCAAGGGTCTCTTAGATACATATTTTTCCTTTGAATGATCAGATAGAGAACTTGGATCCTCTCGTGCAACGTGCAATAGCTTCTGCCTCTAGAGTTCCAGATCTACGGCGTAAGTCAGGCATCCGGTTTATCACTTCAGACACATTAATGATGTGATCTTAACTAAAGATTTTTTTGTTTGGGACCCTTTGTATGTCTTACTTTTCTCTTTTCTAATTGTCCTAGATCTGTATGACAAGATACCAAGCCACATTGAGCCAAAGCTTCTTCCGTTTCAGCGAGATGGCATAGAGTATGTCAGCGATATCTAGTCTTCTTCATTAGCTCTGATTCCTCGTTATTATCAATTCTTCAGCAACTTATTGCCCTGTTGGGGACCTGAGAACTGTTTCCTTTGCCTCATGATCTGTTCCTGCCTTTCTCAGGTTTATTTTGCAGCACGGAGGGCGTGTGCTTCTAGCAGATGAAATGGGTCTTGGAAAGACTTTGCAGGCAAGTGGTTTCCTGTCTAACATATCCTTTCATTTCTTCATGAAAATCTCACTCTCCTTTCATGGGAGAAGATAGAGTTAGTCACTTGCTAAGTAGATATGGCGTTATGGCAATCAGAAAAATTCTCCTCACAAGTATGGCTCCTTGCAAACTGACAAGAAACTAATTTCTGGAAAATCTTCACTCTGCTTGTAAATTTCTTTCCCATCAATTTTATTCACATGCCCATTGTCTGTGCAGGCAATTGCTGTAACTTCATGCGTTCGTGAATCTTGGCCAGTTCTGATTATCGCACCATCTTCGTTACGCTTACACTGGGCAACGGTAAGCTCATGATCTTTGTATGAATTTAAATTGGACGTTGTGGATGTCAATTAAGATGAAGATGATTCGCCATCTTATTTTCTTGCAGATGATCCACCAATGGCTGCATGTACCTCCGTCAGACATAGTTGTATGTAGTTTATTGCTTGTCTAACGTCAGATATAGACATTCTTTATTTTTTACTCTCTCATGTAAGTCATCCTTTAGTAGGTAGTTTTACCTCAAGCAGGTGGATCAAACAAGAGCGGATTTACTATAGTTTCATCCAATAGAAATGGCACAATCCATCTTGATGGTGTCTTCAACATCATCTCCTATGACGTGGTCACTAAACTGGACCAACTCTTAATGGCGTTGGACTTTAAGGTGAGAATATGGCTTCTTAGTAGTTTTTTGGTTGATTGTCCCTGGCATCTTGATGTATAATGATCACGTTGGTTACAAATCAAGCACATGAGTGTGAGATTCTTCAAATTGACGAGGAGACGCTAGTTAAGGAATGGAGAGGAAGGAAGCATTTATGGATTCTGCATTTTTGGATTCTGCATTCTATAACTTGCATTTTTAGTATTCGTCTCAGATCTTTGGGGTTTGACGATGTACTTCTCCGTCTTTTCAGGTTGTTATAGCAGACGAATCACATTATCTTAAAAACGCTCAAGCAAAGAGGACAAGTGCTTCCCTTCCAGTCATAAAGGTATTGTTAATTATTATATATATCGTCCACTCATCGTTTTGCCTACGAAGCTAATTTTAGGTTATCGGCTGACGGATGTAAAATCAGTTTCTTTTTGGTGCAACTGTAAATCTTTAGTACATTGTTAATGAGTAGTACTCTATTTGAATCCATACCATTTGTTTCAGAAAGCTCAATATGCAATACTACTGAGTGGAACTCCTGCTTTATCTAGACCAATAGAGCTATTCAAACAGGTGATATATCCATTTTACTAGTGTCACATTTTTTTCCTTTTTGGCTGTGCATTTTTGAGGGGCGTGTGGATCTCTTGATGTGATTTGATTTACTAAAAACCCTTCGTTCTTTATTTCTTGGCAGCTGGAAGCTCTATACCCAGATGTTTATAGGAATGTAAAGGAATATGGTAACAGATACTGCAAAGGCGTAAGTTCATTGCACATTGAGAAATTGCCTATAATTTCATGTAGCGTGGTTACTGTTCCGTCATAAAATTTTATACATTCCATTCAAATTTCAGGGAGTTTTCGGAATGTTTCAAGGCGCAAGCAATCATGAAGAGTTGCACAATTTGATGAAAGCCACAGTAATGATTCGAAGACTTAAAAAGGATGTCTTGTCCGAACTTCCGTCAAAGCGAAGGCAGCAGGTTATTAGTAGTAGCTCTTTCTCTTATGTCCATGCATCTTATGTGATCTTTTACTGGTTGCTATTGGATTTCTTGTGACGTTATTATTTCTATCTTTGTGTAAATAGGTTTTCCTTGATCTAGCGGAAAAGGACATGAAGCAAATCAATGCTTTGTTTCACGAGGTAACTTGGTGTAGTTTTTAATATCCATGCATTTTACTTTCCTTGAAGGATTCGTATCTGAAAAAAGGAATTGCCTTTATATTACCTTTTACAGTTGAAGGTGGTAAAAGCAAAAATAAAAGATTGCAGATCGGAAGACGAAATTAAATCTCTTAAGTTTACAGAGAAGCACCTTATCAACAAGGTATTGATTTACCTTTTCCAAATTATTTCTTCACAGCCAGTGAAGTTCATTGCAACAGCAATGGCCCTGCTTGATTCAACTTGGTGTACTTTTAGCTGAGAATGTATGTTCTTCTTTTCTTTCGTTGGACCTGCTTGTTATTTCCTAGTATCTTGTAACATCTCCCCATTTTGTATTTTAGATCTACACATATTCCGCTGAAGCCAAAATCCCGGCAGTGCTTGATTATCTGGGAACCGTGCTTGAGGTAATAGTGCTATTAGCGATAAACGGTTTTGAAAATTTCTCATACATGTCTGCTACCTTATTGTCCTTTCTCTTTGAGCTTTGTGATGCAGGCTGGATGCAAATTTCTAGTATTTGCACATCATCAGTCCATGCTTGAGGCATTACATCAGTTTTTTAAAGTAAGGCATTGAACTGTCAGCAAAACTTCCAAAAACCCCCTATGTTTCTCATACGAGTTACAAAAAAAAAAAATTTGCAGAAAAAGAAAGTGGGCTGCATACGGATTGATGGAAGCACCCCTGCCTCCTCTAGACAAGCCTTGGTTTCCGATTTTCAGGGAAATGATGAGATAAAAGCAGCAGTGGTAAGTATTTTCACCATCTTTAAAACAGATTTATCTATCTCTCTCTTAGCATGCCACTATAGAAGGAACTTATAATTTGTCATTGTGCGCCGTTTCTGGACAGTGCTTACTAGCCTGAGGTTTATGTTTATATTTCTTGATTAATTCTCCTGAAACCATATAAACTATTTTATTCATCATTTGAAGGTTGCTTTTAACAATATATTTGCAAAACCATATACTTCAAACTTTTAAGTTGCACAGAGACGTCATATAAGTACAAAATTGATCTTGCTTTCTTTTTTGTTTAAAACTTTCATTGTATGTGTAAATCTTAATCCTTTCATTCTACAGTAGAGATTACTAGCTCTTAAATATTTTGTTGTTGTTTACATGAATTTGCAGCTGTCAATAAGAGCTGCTGGTGTTGGGATAACTTTGACAGCAGCAAGCACTGTTATCTTTGCGGAGTTGGCATGGACTCCGGGTGACCTGATACAGGCAGAAGATCGTGCACATAGGATTGGTCAAGTGAGTCACAGTTACACCTTTTTCTCACTAGTCATTTGCAGTGTCATTTTTAATCCCTCCTATGGCTTTTGCTTAATTTCTATAGGTCTCTTCAGTTAACATACACTACCTTCTAGCAAATGACACTGTTGACGACATCATCTGGTTCTTTCTCATTCACATTTACAGTTCAAATCTCAATGGTTATCTCAATTTTGTTTGTCCTAGGTCAATTACGCTGAACTTGACTTTCTTTACAGGGAAGTTGTTCAGAGCAAGCTGGATAATCTTGGACAGGTATTCTTATTCTCTATGACAAGCCATCATTTGAGAAATGGTGTCAATCACATATCCATTATTATGATTATCTTTGACTATTATTACTGAATCCTATCAAAGTCTCAAATACTGGAAGGCTGTGTGATTCGTGAAAAAATAAATGTTTATACTGTCCAAAGTTTTGAGTTTAGTCATCATTTCTTAACTACTGGAGACGAAACTTTGTGAACAATCTGCAATACAGATGCTTGATGGGCAAGAGAATGCTTTGGAGGTTTCATCTAGTCATCTGATTAGCAGTCCAACAAAACCAAGAAACAGCCCTTCGAAGCAGCCGACTCTTGACTCATTTTTGAAACGCTGCAACAGATCAGATGATGACGCCGAAGAACTTCATTCCAGGCCCAAAGTTCCCAGAATCTGAAACTAAAAACATGTAAGATCTCATCTGTACTTTTGTTGCTTGCAGACACATGATCTTTGGAGCAAAATGATCAGTTGTAATAGTTAGTGCAAACAAATGATCTTTAGTAGCTTATAGGCTTCAAGACAGTTGGGTAGGGGTTGTAATTTGCGAAGGTTTTTGTTAAGTTGATCTTTACAGGTCTTATCGCAACAGATTTTCTTTTCAAACCAAAGTACAGTAAGATAAATATATCAATGTTACACTCAAAGATGCATAAGAAGACAGATATGTACAATGAGAGAAAACATCACACTATAACACTATATATATATATATATATATATATCTTTGGTCAGTTAAGAACACTTTCAATAAGAGACATAACCGAGTCCCTCTCTGCTAGATTCTTCACCAAAGAAACTTGTGACAATAGTTTCAACATCCTGCAATCCAACTCCTACACAAACGGTCTTGGACGGTGTCTTAACTGAATCAGTCATCATAGAATCATAAGTCTCGTTCACAACTCTAACGTTTGGACCATCTCGACACTTCCCCATGCACTTGCAAGCCACAGCGGATCCTTCCATGCCCGTCATGGCCCTTTGAAACTCATTTAACAACACAGCTCCTCCTGATTTCTTACACTTTCCTCCCATACACACTTCTACTCTCTTCAATGGCAATCCAACCACTGAAACCGCTTCTACTGTCTTCAATCTCTGTCCAGGATTTGCCATTAAGGGAAAGACTGTGGACGCAGCAGCTGATTGAAGCAGAGCAAGCTGCAATGCTTCGCCTGTGATCTGTGCATCTTCTTCGAGCTTCTTATTAGAAATCAGAGTCTCTTGGATCCTAGGAAGGGTTGCTAAAGTAGATTCTGGCTGTAACGGCTCAAGAATCGGTTTCTCCTTGTTTCTGAGAGTGTTCATGTCAACAACTTTTCCTTTGCCACAATCACTGTCACTTGATTCAGACGAAGATGATGATGATTCAGAGTCCATGTCAGTAGTCATCTTCATGGCTTTAGCTTTTGCCTTTTCTTCTTTCCTTTGTTTCTTCAATAGCTTCTCCTCTGCTTTTAACTGCTCTAGCTGCTTAACCAAAATCTCTGTTGCTTCCTGCGTAATCATAAACAAATCAAGATCCAGTTTAAGACATCATTTCGATCAATACCACCATGAAACAGTCAAATCAAAGAAGGAGAAAGTAGATTACAGCTTGAAAACAAATTCTTACCGAGATTGACTTGTTCTGAATCTCAGAAACCAAACCGGCTTCTGGATTAAGACCAAACCCTATGCTTGAGAACATGTTTAAGTTCTTAGAAAGACTTTTAAGGACCTTAGCTTTCTTCTTCAACGCCTTCTTCTCCTTCTCCATAAGCTTAACCTTCTCCTTCTCTCCGCCGCATCTCGTTGGCTTGAAATAGTAATTCATGTGCTCTTTATCCGCAAACTCGTTATTACACATAACCCCGTGAAATTTCCTGGTTTGAAACGACACCGTGCGTGAATTGCCGGAAAATTTGGACACCGATCGGAGACCGGAGTAACGGCCATCGGCAACGGCACCTGAAACGGAAGGAATTTGTCGGAGAACGACGCCGGAAACTTCCATGTCTCTTGTCTCTGAAGCTTAGACGATTGACTTTCGAATTTGGAAGCTAGAAATCAATGAACTTGACTTGAGCCTTAAGCGATCTTTTAGATACACGAAATCCTTAAGGCTGTTCCTTGTTGTGGGAGATTTCCAGTTCTTGACAAGAGAGAAACAACAGTGAAGGATAACGTGGCGTGTTTTGATTGGATAAAAGTGTCGTGAGTTGCACTCAGGCTAACCACCTGTGGTCTTGAGATTTCCACACTTTCCCGCGCTTCGGACACGCGCCATACAATGATTCTAAGCCGTCGATGGAAACTTTTGTGGAACTCAACGGACCAAAAATATGACATGAGTACATGTCAGATCGCCACGTGGAGAACCTAATGCAGGTTTTGCCACGTACGTAATAAATTTGTGAGCAATAAATGTTTTTTTTTTCATTTATAGAAGCTCTCAAAACCGATTATTTTAGCTATTATTTCGGCAACTTGATCCGAATATTTTATAAATAGAGAATATAAGAATTTTTTGTCTTAAGTATTGTGTCCGTACTTCAATCTACCAAATTATATTAAAAAATCAATACCATTATCTAATCTGAAAATTCGTAATTATACTTAAATCTTGAGTTAGGTATGGTAACCGATAAAAGTGGGGGAATCACGCCACCTTTCACTTTGTGAGTTATCTTATCAAACGCCTTTTCAGCCGTTCGATTTGTAATCTCTTTTCGTCTCAAATCAATATTAACTCCCTCTCAGCCGTCGGATCTTTAATTACTTTTTCTTTTATCTCAGCTCTTTACATCCCCTGAATTTGGCGTTGATAAGAAGATAAGATGCACGACAAAAATAAGAAGATAAATGCTTTTGAAACTAAGCTCCAAATTCAAGAAAGATTCGATGGTGTGATTAGAGAGTATAATTTAAACGAAAGTGAAGAAGAGATGTGATTGAGAAAATGTATTATTTCTGTATGAGCATATAGCTCAAAAATTTCTTTGAGTAATTTCATTAGAGGGGACATTTAGATACATTTAACATTATTCTTACGTGCCGTGGGATACTACAACATGTACTCACTCAACAAACACTATTAACGCAAATAACGAATTTTTATAACCAAAACCAACGGCCATATTACTCACATTTACTCCGGTTACTTTTCTACGACGGAGCTCCGGCCAAATTCCCCCGTGCCAGACGGAGATGACCCGGAACACGTTGCTTTATCTCTTCTAATGCACATAATGTCTCTGGATCGAGTCCACCCGCAAACTGAATAAAACAAATTGTACAGATCAAACCATCAAGCATCAATGCACACATTGTGTTGTATTGGACCCGAGCGAATGCTTTTTAAATTTGAAGTCTAAGGATTATTACCTGGTGCGTTCTATAAGCGAACCGGACTCCTTGGAGAAGCAAGGCTTCTTGAGTAGACTCTCTATCCAAGTTACGAACTGATTCTAGCTCGTTCGCAACTCTATTCATGTAAAGTTTAGCAAGCTTGATCGATGCTCTTTTGATCTATCAATGGCATTAGAACAATGTTAAAAAGAGTACATTTACTTAAAGAGACAAAATAAAGTCTCCATAGAAAGAAAAAAACATACCTTACTAATCATTCCCGAGTCGAGCATCCACTCGACAGGGATTTTGAAATCCTGGTAAGAACGCATGGATGAGGCGCGTAATCTGACTAGCCTCCTTATCCTCTGCTCCGACCTTATCATAACAAGAGTTTTAAGTTATTCAACATTTTTGGGAATCTAAAAAACGTTTCTTTTAATCATTGAGCCTTCGTATTACTTGTCTAGTAAGTTGACCATTTTCTTCAGGGCAACACCGTAGTGGATGCTCGGATCATCGGAGTAGGAAGAAAGTTCTTTTTCCAGTTTCTTTAGCTCGCGGTACTCAACTGCAGCCTCTTGCAGAGCATCGGCTTTCCTCTCAGGCCACTTGAAATGCTTAAGCACAGCTCGCTCATCAGCCTGTAAGGCATTTAGGCAAGAGGAATACGCATGTAAGATATGTGACAATGTAAAACTCGCTAAATTCTATAAAGAGTTTGGACTCAATAGACAGTTGATTTAAACCACGTTCAAAATGTGATAAATCAGTCACTTCTGTAACAAAATGTTAAAAGAGGAAGTAAGCGTTACCAGTGTTGCCAGTTCACTATCAAGCCAATCCACAAATCTCATGACATCTTCCATATCCGAGAAACAAGTGGTCAGAACTTTCTGGATAAGATCGTTGATAAAATCCCCTTTTGTCTCAATGTCGGCTTTTATCTGTGGAATAAAATGAAACTCATCAAGACTCAGGTTAAAGTAAACAGAGTCCAAGAAAAGGAAATGTTTGGTAGTTTACAGCGATGAGGTGAGCAGAACGGTTCTGAATTTCTCCAACTATACTGTTGTGTGCACTGTTAACTTGAGGCTTATTCCCATTAACAGACGGCGAAAGGTCTCTACTATTATCTTGCTTTTTCAACAAATGATACAGCTGTGAAACCGGAGGAGACTTCTGAGCGCGAGCTGCTTTAGCGAGTGGCCTAGGTGGTGGTGGTGGAGGCGGAGGCGGTGGTGTTGGTGGTGCAATAGGCGAAGAAGAAGCTTCATCTCTTTTACCTGAACTGGTAGCTGGAGATACCAAAAACTTTGGAAGTGGTGGAGATGGAAGTGATCTTGAAGGTGAAGGAGATTGTGGAGATGATCTTTGTATAATGGAGCTTGATGATTCTACAACCACTAGCTCCTTTTTAACCTTGGATTGCTCCAATTTGCTAGCGATTATCTTCTGGATATCTTTAAATCTTGTGTTCTGGTGTTCTTTAGCTGGCTGAAATCAACCAAAAACACCTGAGAGATTACTTCGAAAAATGAGCATACCATAGCCTAAATGCAAAATTCCTGATTCTGTACTCTCACTAAGTCAATGCATTGGTGAGATTTTCTCGCTTAATCTATGGAAACGAAATGTTACCTTGTCGTTAGAGGAAAGAGATGAGATCTTAGCTTCAGCTGAAACAAGATCCTGAGAAAGCTTCCTGTTCTTCAATTCTAGCTCTGCATTTGAGCTTCGAGCTTCCTCTAGCTCCGCTTTCAAACTCGAAACCTGCGCCTGCAAATCCTTAATCAGCGATTCGTTCGCCACAAGCTTCTCCTCCAACTCCTCCATCTTCTTCCTCTTCTCATCCTCCTCCGCCGCCATCTCTTCGCTCTTCCTAGAAATCGGCCGCCTCGGACAACCGAATTGCTCAACAACCGCCGGACGATTCACAGACCGAGCTCTCTGAGGAGCCAAAACCGCCGTCTCCTCCTCGCCGGATTTCGCTCTCTTAAGCAGAATGGACCGCCGGTTCTTACCGGGATCGTGACCGGAGGATTTCGGTTTACCGTTATCGTCTTGGGCTCTAGGTCTAGAAATGACTGAGTAGTGCGAATTGGCGGCTCTCACTCGAGAAGGAGTGGTGGAGGTGGCGGAAACGCGGGACATAATTAACGAAATTCCGCCGTAAACGGCGGTCGCCGGCGAGAAGACTCGTCGTTAACGTCGTACTCAGCTTTGACTTGTGAGAAAACGCAAGAGACGACGACTTCAAAAGCTGCACAAGAAAACAACAAGTAGTATAATATTAATCACCAATCATTAAAATCCAATAATCCTTACGCGATTAATCCTTACTTGAGCGTTAATAATTTGTTAACCAAGCAACTAATGAAGGAATGATCCGTCTGGAGGAAACAGTGGGCTTTGAGGCCCACCAAATTTTTTGACGACTTTTGAAATAAGACAAAAGAATTCAAGTTTGTGGGCCCGCTCTGTTTTTTGTCTTCAAACGTGTCGTTAAAAATCTAATACACAAAAAAGTAGACAGTGTCGCGTCTGTAGGTGTATGCGTGTAACTGCAAGCTAACAAAATTATTGTTATACAAGAATTTTTTTCTTTCTGATAATTTACTTTAAGAAAATTTATGTTAATTACCTTAGCTAAATTGACAATCATGTAAAAATTCTAAGCATTTCAGATCCCTGAGGAGGGTATGTGCCTAAAGATAAAGAACAAAGACATAATATATCTGAAGTAAAACCAGATTGTAGAATAGACCATCTACAGTTTGATAAAAAGAACAAAAATTGGAGCATATGTTAAACACAAAATTAAGAGACGGACCCACCAATAATTTGTCTCATCTTGAAGTTGCAAATGGAACAAAGCGCATTTGACATTTATGTTGGGACCATTATGTTTGGAATAAAAGTTGTGTGATTATTAATAATGAAACTACGTACAAAAGAGAATAGCGTATGAATATATGTGTGTTTTGGGGATAATTAAAAAAAAAACAAGTTTTAGAGAATAGGGAAGAGTATGTCCTAATCATACTCAAACTCAAAGCTGTTAGTTACCATTGGTTACAAGTTAAGTTATTGACTTATTTTGGAGATTTTGGGGAATTTGATCATAATTTGATATAATGATATTATGAATTATTTTGTCCCTATCTAAAAGCAATTATTGGGCTATGTATAAGTTGCCTTGCTAGGTAAATAAACTACTTCCAACTATCTACGATTTTATTGGACTCTCAAATGAAAAGAACAACAAATTAAAGCCTTGATAAAGTCGTAGTTTGATAGGAAAATTATAGATATGTATGATGAAAACTTATATTTTATCAAATAGAAAGTTGGCACTATAAATCTGTTTGCGTTTAATTTAATCAAATACTGTGATTATATTTTTCTACATTTCTATTAAATATCTTTAAGAATAAGAAAGTAAAACACAGACAAACAAATAATTGATTGATTCTTTTTTCAAACTAATTTTTGTGTTTTTATTTGAAGACATGCATAATATTTTGACATCTAAACATAAACACAAAAAGAAACTAAAGAAACGTCAGTCCCTGAATCTCAATGTAGCAAACTAGTTGGTAAATTATTGCATGGTAAAAAAGTCATTAATTATAAAATTGCAAAGCTACCAAGGTTGTAGCAAAATAAGATAGATAAAAGCAAATCATCTGTAGCACGTAATTATAAATTTCTCACCATAGAAAATGATTATTTGGATGCAATTAAGTGTGTTGTGAAAGAATCTTCAGTGCTTTGTGGATTCAGGGTACAAGAAAAGAAACGCAGTTCGATAATCAGAAACTATAACAAAAAATTTATATTCGTTTTTGGCAGATGATAATAATTTGAGGTTGAGCGAAACAAAAGAGGTAACATTTTATATCTAATTCAAAAATTAAAATTCATATATCTAACAAAGACATCAGACGTTTGTTCTTGTTCATTTTCAGAAAGCGAGAGAGATGAAGGAGAAATCAAGAATTAAAAATAGTACCTTGGAAACGAAGCTCTTGAAGGAGGAAGGAGAATGTCGTCTTATGAAAAAAACTTTGTTACATTCTCATTAGTGATGATGATCGATGATATTGCACATATGCAGCTCTTATATATACATGTATACGATGATATCATATTCATGAATCATGTGTAGATATATAATATCGTGAGTGTGTGTGCTTTATATTATCTCTGCCCGAGAATGAGTATAATTTTCGTTTATGTAATTGCGCTCAAAGGTATGTAAATGTCTTGCAGTCTTGGAAAGATCAAAAACTTGGAGGAACCGGAAGAAAATTAGTTAATAATGAAATAAACAATAAAAAGAAAGAGAAATAAATATACAGATCGGTTAGTACCTCGCAGTCTTGCATTGATCAATCTTTAATCTTAGTTGACCGGCCAGTTATAAACTTTTTTTTCCTCCCGGCCAGTTTTAAACTGATATTTAACTCTTACCCATCCATCTAGACTAGAGGTCACATACATGAAAAGCATCGAAATTAGTTAATTTAAAATATTCAGAAAATAAGTTGTTTATATAAAGTTTTGAAAATTTTGTTATTTATTCTATATCTATGTGAAAATCTTCTTATTTATAACCTTAATCAATATTGGAACAAAATCATGAATGCAACAACTCGATTCAAACTTCAAATAAATTGAAAAGCATATTTAATAATATAGAGTTATTGGTAATTGTTTGTTTATGACAAAACTTTAATGGTAATTTGTTCTCTATAGTTTTTTTTTAATTTGTTAATTTGCTATAGACGATATGTATCCATCTTCAAGATAAGATATAATATGATAGGGATGTCGTTATATATTCTTCAAACACTAGCTATAAGTATGTAGTCTTTATTAAATTTATGAAATATATATCATGAACCTTAAAACGCTAAACAGAGAGAAGAATAGAACCTTAAACACTCATTAAGTAGATAGTACGATGTATGTAATGTAAATGTAGACGTCTTTTTCACGAATGGAGTACAAATCAAACCATAGTTTAATACGGACAAATCAGGTGTACCCCTTTTGTATGCAAACTAACATAGTAATACTAAAATTCGTAAGGATAATGGGATGCATAATAATTTATTCAAGTGATAAATTTTGATTAGATGATGGGTCATGTTCCAAGAAGGAAGCGTGTATTTTCGTATGCCTCTCAATTGAAGAAATAATTCCAAAGTCATCTATTCCAACATATGTAGATTACATGTTTGAAGTTCAATGATTTAGTATGCAAAATATGCGTATATATACATGTGTGTGTTTTTTTTTTCCGTTACGGTTGAACTAAGATAGATGTCAATCCGTTGTTATACATTCATCAAACTGTCAAGAAGTAAATTTCTTTTCTTCCAATAATGTTCAGACATGATAATGAATTACCACAACTATGTGCTGATTTCCTTAACTAATGTGTCACTTCAAGTCTTCAAGACTACTTTTTTTGAAAAAAAATAAAATAATATTTTAGGCTACTTGTATATAGGGTTGGAATTATTATCTGGTATCCGAGATCCAATCCAGGATTCGTTATTCGAAAAAAATCTGGAGAGTAAAATCTTATATCTATCAAAACCAAATATGGATCTAGATAGTTAAATTAAGGTGTGGATATCCGTATCCGAATCTCTAACCTCTAAATATATTAAAAGTTATATTTTATTGATAGTTGTGTAATATAATTGAGATTTATATATACAGTAAAACCTCTATAAATTAATAATGTTGAGATCATGATAATTTATTAATTTATCGTGATATTAATTTATAGAGAAAATTTACTTTCCACATATAATTTTCTAAAAATTTCTTTGTATTAATGTTATATTTTAAAATTTTAACAAATCTCATGATATAAATTATGATTAAGAATCATAACTATCACAATAAAATAGTTTTTAACACCATATTGGATTGTCCATGTAAAAATATACATGTTCATAAGTTTAAAATTTATAAAAAAAATCATGGCTGCTATCAATATTACTGATGATAAAATTGAAGATAACACTAAAATACATTTAAAAACATTTAAAGGTGAGAAAATTAATTATCACGATAAAAAAATCATCGTAAATGTTGAATGTATATAGTAAAAGAGCAATAAAAACTACTGATATAATAATTAGAGAGATAAGAACCAATGAAATTTCAAATTTAAGTAAAAACAAACACATTAGTCATATTTTAGAATATTGTATTTATATATATTTGCATAAATTTATATCATTATTAATTTATGTTTTTGTTGGGACCATAAATTTACATAAGGGTTTCAAACAAAATTATTATCTTATTATCTTATCGAATTTGATGGATTTTTACATTGGTCCGACTTGGGACCAGCAAAATTTATTAATTTATAGTGATTATTAATTTATCGAGTATTAATTTATAGAGGTTTTACTGTATATCTATATATATAATTAACAATATATTAAAATATTTTTCTAATAAAAAGTTTATTTTTACAAAATAGTAAATAAATATTAATTTTATCATTTTTAATATATATTTTTTAAATATTTTATTTTTCTGAATTTGGATCCGGATTCGAATATCAGTGGATATCCGCAGAAATCTTAATATTTAAGCGAATATCCGAAGTTTGGATATCTAGACATTCCAGATACATATCCAAATAACTAAAACTCCCATGTAGCAGATCCGGATAAGAATCAGGTAATCACAAAATTATGAAGAGTCATTAAAAAAATTTTCATTTATCATAATAATTTGTAAGTATGGAAGTTAATCAAATTTAATAATCTTGTTGGAACCCAATATTAATAAGCATTTGGACTTGTAATATTGAGTTTGTGTGTGAATAAGAAATGAAGTTTAATAAGCAAATAGACCTTATAAATTCATTTGAGATTTGGGTTTGAGCCTATGGAAATGAAATATTCCTATTGGCTATAACTAAAAGTGGAAGTTTAGTGGAAGTGTATTTGTCCCACATTGCTGACCAAGGAGAAAAATCTCTTGTATATATATATGGCTTTCTCACAATAAGAGTCAGCAGCATTGTGGAAGTAAAAGGGCATTATGCAAAAACACCTACGCGCGCCGCCGTCGCCGCCGTCGCCGTCGCCGGTGCCGGTGCCGGTGCCGAGCTCGTGCTCGTGCTCGTGCTCGTTGCTCGTTGCATTTTTTAGTTGGCTCTTAGGGCTCTTGGGCTCTTGGGCTCTATATAGCTGGGTGTGGGTCGTGGGCCTCTTAGTTCCAGCGATATATTTTTTTGCATATTGAAAGGATAAATCTTAGGAAATAAAAGATTGCGTCCAGATAATAACAGAAGATTTCCGAATCCTTTTACTTGCGGAAAAAGGAGAATATTTTGTGAATATTCTTTTTTTCGTCAAAGCTTATTCCTTGTGGATCAAGCTGAACCTTCCAGTATAAATAGACGCCCTCTTCTCTCATTCTAAATGATCGAATAATAATCGAATTCTCTAATACTCCAAACACACAGCAAATAATTATTTCCAGCAAATCCCTCTCATCTTAATATCGTAAGTGTCTCGAGAGCTATAGCGTAGCATAATCTCAGTTCGCAGATTCTATTACGGGTGTTGCGTAATAGTCTCATCACGGTTGTATCCTGGAATTCAAAAATCGCAACAAACCGTCACACATTACGGGCGATTTATTGAGTTAAGGAAAGAGATCATATCTCGACTCCGTGTTTTCGTCTGTTTTCAATCGGTTTTATAACTCTCGTTTTAATCTCTTACCTTAACATATCGTTTATAATATTGCTAATTTTTGATTTGTAATTTCAGTCGGATTTTCGCGGTCCTTACAATCTTAACTCAATAAATCCGCTTCCTGCTTATCGCTTGAATTGGATTGAATATTGCGAAACAGTTTTTATAAACGGTTTTTTGAGAAAACGAGTTTTTTAAAATCGATCTACAAAATGTCTGCGAAAGTTTCTTAGCTATTTCGTAGAACTTTTGATCTGTTAAAGATGAATCTTCTAAAATGGTTTATGCGGCAGTCATAGACAGGTCCGCAAAACGTGTTAGGGTTTAAGAACGTCATCAAAAGACGATTTTGAGAACACCTATTTTCGAGTTCTAAGAATACCTATTGGTAATATCTGTGGAAACTCAAAGCGAGTCCTTTTCGGAAAAACGCTGTTCATAGCGACTTAAACGTCTTAATCGCTGATTTGAATCTTGGTTCTCAATACTAACTTCAGTTATCTTCTGTGAACAGATTCAACTATGACTAACGGTGATGTCGACATGACTACCAATGGAAGCTCGGGTGAAGTCAGGATGCCAGCATCGGTAACCGCAGGACTTCAGCCCGACAAGTTCAATGGTTCGAACTTCAAGCAGTGGCAGAAAGGATGCACTTCTTTCTGTCGTCAATGCAGCTGAGCAAGTACCTCACAGAGGATCCCCCAACAGTGCCAGAAGGAAACAAAGATGTTACGATTCTGGCTACCGTTGAAGCATGGAAGCACTCAGACTTCCTATGCAAAGGGCACATCAAGAATCGCCTGGTGGACCAGCTGTTTGATGTGTACAGTGAGGTCAAAACTTCCAAAGAACTCTGGGATGCTTTGGAAAGGAAGTAAAAGTCCTACAATGTCGGCTCTGGGAAATTCGCTACAGCGAAACTCCTCAAGTTTGAGATGGTGGATTCTCGTCCCATCATGCCACAAGTGCACGAGCTGGAACTAATCTTTCAAGAGATTAGGACTGAAGGAATGAAGCTGTGTGAGACATTCACGGTGAACTGCTTCATTGAGAAGTTACCTCCAAGTTGGGCAGACTTCCAGAACTATCTTGCTTACAAGCAAAAGGCCCTGTCGCTGGAAAATCTGATCTCCAGATTGCAGAATGAGTCACTAAAACGTGACAGAGTTGGAAAAGAAGATGGTCAGATCATGACCCATGATGCAAACGTGGCTGAGTACAGGAAAAAGGGCAAAGGCAAACCATCCAACAAGGCTGCGCCTAACAAGTTTCCTCCACGAAACAACACTAGCTTCAAGAAGCAAGGTCAAGCACCCATGAA